GCCCTCCGACCCCGGGACTCTTGTGCCCCCTCCCCCACAGAACTAGAGCTCTGGGGGTCTCCCTCCCCCAGCAGCCCCAGAGCAGGGCCTATGCCCCCTCCCTGTCCCGCCAGGCCGCCCGCCCCACCCCGAGCTCCACCAGCCCACCAGGCGAGGGTCCTCCCTCCCAGGGCCTCAGCCCACGGGGCCCTGACCTGGGAGCAGCAAGACGCTGCCGCTCCCGGTCCGGTGGGCATTCTGGGCCTCACAGCTGAGCCTGAGGCCAGAGCTGATCCCCCCTCGGAGGCTCAGGGAGCTGTTGGCCCAGGGCCCGGCTGAGCTGGGGGTGGCCGTGAAGGGGCCCCGGCTGCCATTCCCCTCCCACAGCCCCACCCCAAGCCGGCAGCGCAGGGAGGGGGCCGGCTGGGCTCGGGAGCAGCAGCTGCAGCGCAGCCCCTCGGCCTCCCAGGAGCAGGAGGGGCCCAGCAGCTCCAGGGGTCTGTGGGGACAGAGGACAGGACTCAGGAGGGGCCCCCCTCCCCCACTCACCATGCACAGAGAGGCTCAGAGAGAGATGCCGGGAGCCCAGGGGGTGCTGGGCGTGGCAGGTGAATTCCCCTTCGTGCTCCATTTGGACCCGAGGCAGCTCCAGGACCCCAGGGTCTGAGGGCTGGGACGGGCTCAGGGTCTGGCTCCCCCGGGCCCAGCTCAGCGTGGCTGGGGGGTTGCTGAGGGTGACGCAGACCAGGCGCAGGCTTTGGCCCTCCAGGACCAGGAGGGACGTGTCATTCCTGAGGGTTTCCAGGACTAGGGAAGGGAAGAGGCAAAACTGATGCCCTCCTGAGGGCACAGGGACCCTCCTGCATGGGGACCTCAAGACACCGGCCCTGCATTTGGCTCTGAGAGGCCCCGGTCCCTCTGTCCCCCTTTCCTACCTGTCCTGTTTGCTTGGGAAACCAGCACTGTCAGGTTCTCTGGAGGATCTGCAGGGACACAGGGCACCGCTCTAGATGGGCCAGGGCTTCCCTCTGGGCAAAGGGAAGGTCGCTGGAGACCGAGGTGGGGGCTGGGGTGGGATGGGGGGGCTGAGTCACCCACTGAGTCTCACACACCAACTGCCCAAGGGTAAGAAGGCCTGGTCGCCTAGGCCTGGGGACCCCCTCAGAGCTCTGGGCCCTGAGCTGACCCTGCCCCCTCCCCCTCTCCCTCCAGGACTCCAGGCCCCTGCTGGTCACACTCACACTGCACAGAGAGCTCTAGGCTGCGGTGCTGGGAGCCAAGCCTGTTCTCCGCTTGGCAGGTGTAGTGCCCTGAGTCCCCAGCCCTCACCCCGGGCAGCTCCAGCGCCAGGGCTCTGGGGCCCCAGGGGGAGGACCAAGACAAGACTCTGTCCCCCAGGGCCCAGCTCAGCGTGGCAGGGGGCTGGCTGTCAGCAGCACAGAGGAGCCGCAGGGACTGGCCTTTCTGGGCTTGCACACGTGGGACGGTGTCCTGGGGCTGCAGGGCTGGAGACAGAGACAGAGAGAGAGACAGAGATGGAGAGAGAGACAGAGACATAGAGAGAGAGGCATGCAGGGAGCAGCACGCCCCCTCACCCTCACGCCCAAGCCTTTTCACCCCAAAGAGGACAGGCCCAGCCCCAGCCCAGAGGGACCTCAGTACCTGGCCCGTTGTCCCAGGAAATGCTGACAGCCAGGTCTCTGGGGGCGTCTGCAACAAGGTTGAGGGGGCTTCAGGGAGGGACGTTTTATTCCCCCAAAGTGCTAATAACTCCCTCGGGGCAAAGAAAGTGACTATCCCTGGGAAGAGAAGTGACAGGCCAGCGCCAGAGCACACGCGTCCGGACAGGGGCCAGACGCCATTCCCGTCCCCCTCCCAGGGCTGAGGCCGCATCCTGGACCTCGCGGCCTCCTCTCCCTGCACCCTCCTGAGCCCGGAGCCGCTCGCCGCCCCGCGGGGCTCCTCCGCCCCCCACACCCGGCCTGTTCACGCGCCGCACGGTCCGCGCCGCACTCACGGGCCACGCCGAGCCGGACGGTCCTCCGTGCGCTCACGCCGCTTCCGGCGAAGGTCACTCGGCAGGTGAGGTTGGTGTCGTGGTCCTGAGGTCTCGGCGTGAGGCTCAGCACGGAGAAGTGGGAGGTGGTGGGCCCGGTTCCTCGGGAGGAGAGGGCGGCCCCCGCCCAGGAGAAAGAGGGGGCCGGACATTCCTCGAAGTTCCCGTCAAACACACAGATGACTGTCGCCGGCCGCCCGGGCTCCAGGGTCTCCGGGACGTAGACATCCGGCTCCTGAGTCAGGGCTGGGGCAGAGAGGGGCTCCTAGTGCCCTGAGAGCCCTCCCTGCTCAGCCCCTCACCGTCCCCGGGGTGGTCCCACCCCTTTCCGTACCTGTCACTTCCAGAGAGAACGCCTTCCGGTTCCCGAACGTGTAATTCACGCCGCTTCCTCTCTCCACCCGAAAGAAGTATCTTCCCGCGTCCGCCGACCGGGCGTCCCTGACCACCAGCGCGCAGCTCTGGCTCTGGGGGTCCCCACGGAGCTGGAAGCGGCCCTGTGCCCGCATTGGCACCTCTCGGCTGGGGTTGTTTGTGGCCACTAGAGCAGCGGCCTTTGAGCCGGGCCTTCCTTTGAACCAGGAGCCGTAAGCTGGGCTAGAGTCGTCGCAGCCACCGCGGGGGCAGGAGAAGGTGCAGGGCACGAGCACGCACAGGCCTCTCTGCACCGAAACGGACTTGGGCACGTGAAGGTCGGAACCTGGATCCTTCTGCACGGAGCCTGTGGGGAGACGGAGGCTCGGCTGCTGTCCCAGACCCCACCTGGGACCCCGGGCCCCTGACCCACTCACCCGCCCCCAGCGCGGGCAGCAGCAGGGACAGAAGCAGCATCTCCAGCTCCGAGGGGCCGGGCCTGCCCCGGGACCTCTGGCTCCTGGGTGCGCCGGCTGGGAAGGAAGCTCCTCCGGGGTCTGGGGAGGGGCGGTGCCCGCTCACAGAAGAGGAACCTCAGGAACCGCCGATGTCCTGAAAGGTCCCCTCTCCCGACTTCTCCTTTCGGAGAGGGAAGCAGCAGGACAGAGGCCGTGAGGACCTGCCCCAACCAGGGAGGCCACCCTGGCTCAGCCTTGGGGGTGGGAGCCCCAGCAGGGGGCCCTAGGGGGACAGAGGGAGCCATGGCCCAGGTGAGATGACGCAGGCTCTCATTCATTCGTTCACTCTCCAGGCAAACATCTACTCCATGCAGGGCTAGGGGCAAAGAGAATGCGACCAGCCAAGCCCTGTCCCCAGGGCCTCACCCTCGAGTGCCCCCAAACCCAGGGACCCCCAGGCTCCCCAAGGGCACTGAGCTGCCCCTCCTGTCTCAGGGCATCTCCAAGGCCCACAGCAGGCTCCCAGCTCCATGGTGAGAATCAGGGCAGTTGCACGACACCTGGTGCTCAGAAGGCCTCTCCCTTGGGGTTTAGGGGTTTAATGCTCTGAGGCTGCCTTCTTGAAATTTTGAAGGATTTCGTCTTTGAATTGGGTTTTGTAAGTGAAGTCTACGGGGATCATGGAACCCACACTGGGGGGGCATGGACCTTGGATCACACATTCACACCTTGTCACCTGCCTGCCTCGTCTAACCCCCAGGCGGGTTCTTGGCCCCAGCCCACCCCCATTCCCCCTCCTGGGCACTGAGAGGGTCTGGGCTGTGCTGAGTTGAAGGGAAGGTGCCTCAGGTACCTTGAGGGTCTGCACCGCCCAACCGCCAGTGTCCCGAAGACTCAGGGACTGGATATTGTCTAGCAAAGAAAAAACACCATGGACAAAGTGGGATCTGTTCATACAATGGAATAGTATTCCGCCATAGAAAGCAGTGACGCCCTGAGACCTGCTACAACATGGGTGCATCTGGAAACATTATACTAAGTGACAAAAGCCAGACAATGCTGCACGATCCTTTCACATGAAATGTCCAGAAGAGGCAAATTTATAGAGACAGGAAGTAGATCGGTGGTTGCTGGGGTAGGAAGATCTGGGGGGAGGGGAG